ACCCGAGCTTGAGGATGACACATACCACCCCACGAGGGGTGAGAAAACTGTTTTTTTTCTTTATATATTCAATTCAGTTTATTTACATAGCGGCAATTCAAAACACATGTCACTCAAGGCACTTTATAGTTCAGCAGATCTTACAGTCAGATTGTTTCAAAGTTTTCTAAGTTTTCCGATCTCTAACATCTATAAACAAAGATGTTGATGGCAGCAGCACAGCTGAGCTGATATTTCTCTCCAGGGTGGTATCACAGCCAAACAGGAACAGAAGAGGCCAAGCTACTATGAGAAAAGGCATAGAGAGCAGAACGCTAGAGTTAAACTAATAGCGGAAGAATAGAGATAGAATGAAGCAAAATGATGAAATAGGGGTCCCTATGTCCTCCAGAAGTCTAAGCGTATAGCAACATAACTATAGAGATAGCTCAAGCTCATATATATATATATATATATATATATATATATATATATATATATATATATATATATATATATATTTATGAAAATGTGTGCAATTAGTGTATATAAGATTTAAAAAATCTAAATGAATCACCTAACCCCTGTGTACTACTAATGCCATTCCCAATATCCAATATATTTCTCATTCATTTTAATCCAATCATATAGACAGATTCAAAATACAATCTAACAGTCATATTTATTATATTTTCAAATCAATATGGGCAGCTACAGCTGATTATTTGTCAGTTGTTGAAAAGTTGTCCAAGTTAAGCCAGTTGCATGAGTGTATGCAAACAAATATATGAAAATGTTTTTTGTTCACAGCAAAAGGGAAAATTTGTAATAAAATAAAGAAATCATACAATATTCCATACCAAGATTTAGTTTTTAAAATTTCTTTCAAAATTGCCTTTTTAAAAAAAATAAATTCTAGAGGTAGTCATTGACTTTAGAGCTTTAGAGCTTTTGACCTGACATCCCACATCATGAATCATTCTGAACAAAGAAACATTAATCACCATGATCCTCCAGCTGATGAATAGGTATCAGATTCTAAAATTATTCAGGGATGAGAGAGTCCAAAGCTATCAAGGAAATAAGTTTTTATTACTGGTCAGTAGATATGGAGTCCCGTACCGAACTAAATTGACATCTACTGTATAGTGTGACACATTTTTCTTAGGAAAAGCATTGACTTCACCCTTTTGAGCTGTTGCAGCTTAAAGCAGTAGCACACTCATCAATTAGAACCAAGACACAGATTTTTCTTGTGTTTATTCCTTTGGACAATTTTAGATAGTGACAACTTCTCCAAGGCTGAAAAACAAACAACAAAAAACCCCAAAAAGAACTGCAGATATGGAGTGTCTCTCATCCAGCTGTACAGCCATTATGACCTTTGTAAGACTCACTCATATTGTTGTTGCCTATTTTTCCAGCCTCCAGAGGAAAGGTTGACTATGTCCCTAACACATCCCATCCACCAAACAGAGGCTATAAAAAAGAAATAAGTTTTTTCATGACCTGTTAGTGGTTGTAAACTTAGACCTGGTCTGTGTGGCTTCTTCATCAGGCATCCTTTGAATAACACATGCTTAGCTTATCAGATATTCCCCCTTATTAAAGGTAAAATGCAGGCTAAGCATGTAATATTCTATCTATCCTATAAAATACATGTATAGGTTCATTTCCACAATCTTTTCTTGAATCGGGCTCATTTTCAGGACCATAATTTATTTTAACTGCAGGAACATATCAGGCATGGGTACAGAAGAAGTCTACCATTAGAGGTGTAAGTTTCTGAGTAAATCCTGAGCTCAAGTTAGAGCTTTGCACTGGGTGGATGCTAAGCATCTCTTTCCCAGTACTTCAGTCCAACCACCTCCCAGTTTTTATTCCTCCTGCATTTTTTATTGTCTGTTACTGCAGCCAGCAACTTTTGCTCAATACCAAAGTGTCTTACTATAGGAAGATGGATAGTAAATTACGTTTTAAAAGCCTTCTAAAGTAATTTCAACCAGTAAAGCTAGAGTTTTCTTTAGGTTTTATGTTCCAAGATACAGATTAAAACAGTTTTCTTAATCCACTCATTTTAACTTTGAAGGGATCAGGCACTCAGCTGTTGCAGATGCAGCTGCTGCTTGCTTCTTTGTTTACTGTTCCTCTTCCACATCTTGGATACTTTATTTATTAAAGATCGGTGGATTATTACAAACTTCATCTGGTTCTAATCGAGTTTCAGGGCTTAACGGCTATAAAAAAATCTTCCTAAACACTGTCTGAATTAGCCCAGTTATTTGAAATGAGTTCTACCTAAACATTTTCACACAAACAAATCAGAGATGTGTGCCATCTTGCTCTGTTTACACAATCTTTTATGTAATTGCAGACTCAGCTGTTGCAGTGGCCGGAGTTTAGATCACAGTGGCCCCCTCCACAGATAGGAGCCACCATGGATGGTAGCAATGCATCTAGTCGGATGGATAAAAAGGTTGTCTACAGTTAATTCTAGGGGACAAAAAAGCCCCCCTTCCTGAAACATGCCTGATAAAAGTAAATCATGTTTTTTTTAAACCTTTATTACTCTTTGTGAAGTTAATCATGTTATGAGAAAGAGACTGGAAGAGACTATGTAACAAGAAATTGTCTCTCAACTTTTGAAAAATAGCTTAAACCATCTTTTGATCTCTCTTTATTTTGGCTTTTTGTTCTGAACGGAAATTCAGAGTGAGCACTTTAACCCAAATCAGTTCGGTATGTGCACACAAAGGACCTTTGGTAAAAATAAACAACCACAAGCAGAGTGGATCAATAAGCACGATTTAAGGTTACAGAAAGGAACTATTAACTAAGTCAGTTCTGCTGATTTTCAGCATTTCATTAGTTTTCCATCAGTCCAAGATTTCTAAAACAAACTATTTTTACAAAATAAGTCAGATACAATAATAGTATTTAAGTGAATATGAGTCTGTGTTTCTACTTGATTTAGCAGCAAAACATTGTGCTTTTGCAATAATCAACTGAGCCAATACGGATTAAATAAGATGCAGCTCTCCACACAGGCAGCTCAATTTTGCAGATCGATCAAAATGAAAGTATTACCAGCCCTGTACAGCTGCAGTTTGTAATAAGCACCACCTGCATTTGCAGAAAAATGACACATGCATCTATGAAACAAATTGTTTGATTGAAAAAACAACAAAACGCTTTGGGATGTAATAATTTATTAAAAGCTCTCTGCACAACTGTAAACCATCCACAATAAAATGGGTTTAATCTGAATTTATTCATCAAACAATGTTTTCCTTCTCTTTTCACATTTTTGAAGCAAAGAAACTAGATTTGAAGGAGAGAATATGAGTGAGGATTAGAGAGATGGGGGAGAAATAAGCCAAACTTTTTTTTTTTTTCAAAGAACCTTCCTCTAAAACAGAGACAGTATTGTGTTGTGGGTTTGGTCATCTGCAGCTGAGAAGTGATCTCAGATTATAGTTCATATCAACCATCCATGACAAATATGCTTCACCCATTGCAAATTGATTAGGAAAAATGTCAGCATAAGTGCAAATTAAACGATAAAGTGGCTTCTGCACAAAAGTTGGATGTAAAATGTTGCTTAAAATCATGGATATAAAGTGCTCTCCAAATATCCTGACAGGATTCATAGCAGTGAAAGCCTCACTGGTTAACAACAATAAAAGAAAGGTTAGAAAATGAGTGGCTATTGTTTCCAATTTATGGACAAATGCAAAGAAATCTTAGATTTTAAATCTCTGATGCAGATAGAGATGAATTCACAGTAAAACTCAATGCACCACATTCTGTTAAAAGCTGGGAGAAGCGCTGCCTCTGCCTCCTTTATAAAAGTGAAAGAAGAAAAATCAATTTGCCATGCTGTATTAGGTCCTTTTGTAAAAAGGACATTTGGCTTTGCCCGCGTCTCAGAGCTGAGAAATTTCACAATGATGTTCCTGTGCATTACCCTTCTAACTGCAGTCACATGTGCAGGCGTGAACTTTTACAAATGCTTTCAAACGTATTAAAGCATAATGCACAGTAGCTTTTAATAATTAAAACAAGCCTGTATTTACAGGCTGATCCATTTCTATTTGGCTCAGAAATTCAGACTAAAATAAATTCAATCTGACAACCAAAAATTTTGGAAACACAGAAAGGGAGGGCAGCTCTCCTGTGTGTGTAAACATGTCAGTATACATGGCTCTGTATGTTAAGGAGAAGGAGATGGCAGCCTGCCACGCTGAACTCACTGACCAGGCCCCCTTCAGCTCCCCGAGTTGCTTTGAGGCCAACATTGGGATGGGAGCCAGCATAGCAAGGCTCAGGCACCAGCTAAGCTCATTGGATCACAGGTTGCTATGAAGATTTCTGGGATCTGTGTCGGATTGCAGCAAGGGTTTTCCTCTGCATTGCATCTTCTGCTCCAGTTTTTCTTTTTTTTCTTTTTTAAACACATTTATAGACTGTGTTGCTGATAAGATACAAAACATTCATGTACACCAATAAGATTTTAAAACTCTGATACCCTCAAACAATCCCTTATGGTTTGGTCATTAGTGTGTCACATCCTACTACTTAACATCCAGTGTGGGAGATCAAGTATTTTTTAAATCTTAATGTAATCTTGCATGGAAAAACAAAAATGTGAAGAGATTTACAATGTGAACCTGCTGCCATCTACAGGCAGGGAGCTGTAACAGGTGTCTCGTCACAATTTTAACCAATTACTTGAAGCTTTGATTAGAAAAGCTTGAAATACTTTCTTGTAATTTTTGGAGTAGAAAAACAAGAGCTTTTTTTTATTTAAGAGAGATGCTTTTTCTCAGGAGTATTGTCTAAACCAGCTGGCAAAGCAATGAGAGGACTGATTGGTAAGTAACCAGGAGAGTCATAGCTAGGGTAGGAGAATGTATCAACAGGATAACTACTGGACAGGCAATACATAAATGGACATTTATGGAAGTGTGGTTTAGCTATAGGAGATGTAGGGGAAACGCAAACATGTTGAAGGTCCTCTGAGTCACAAAACCAAAAGTTTCCCTTTAAAGTCAGTGTTTGTAAAATAATGAAAAAGGAATGAACAGTTTTTGCAAGATACCATGGATCATATTTCCAAACCCATCAAAGGGACCTTATTAAGGTATTACCTCTGAAAGAAACCACAACTGATTCTGAGTTTCCCACATGATAGTTTTTAAAGAGTTTTATTGAAACAAAAATCATTTTAAGTCCCAGTCCCTTGTGGTTTTCAAATAAAAAAAAAAAGAAGCATACTTTGGATTTTAGCGCTGACATTTCATGACTAATCTTCAAAGCCCTGCTTGCTTTCAAAGCAGCATGTATATAATCAAACAAGAGAAAACTATACAACAGGTCATTTTGGCACTATCAGCTCATACAAATGGCACTGTGCTGTCGTGTCTTCACTGACCGTTTGCACTATGCTGGCTCTAAACGTATTCCCCTGATCGATTCTCACCTTGGATTCAAAAAAACGTGACACAGATGCGCTACAAACCAATCGGCAACGATGAGGACAAAGGCATTCCTTGTGTAACGGGCGCGCTTCCCGATCGTGGTGTTGACTGTTAACGTCTCTAATCCAGATGTCATCAAATCCAAGTTTTTTTATAGATGTAGTGTTACTAGAAATCAGAATCAAAGTGAGTTTTTTTCTGACATCCTCTTTAGAAAATACTGAAGCTTCTGTGCTGAGCGATGAGTCACAGAGTGAAGAAATGGTAACAGAAGGTAAATACTGCAACATCATTCTTTACCAACATTTGGTGAAGCGTTTTTATGTGTGCCATCTTGCCTGATAAGCACTTTGGTATACCTTGACTAACTGATTACACGCCAATCCAGCCAGACAATGCCTTAGCTTAGATTCTAATATCCTAGGGCAAGCCCCCCCCTCCCAAAGTAAAGATAAAAGGCTGCTCGTTGTAACATTCAATAAGCATGCATTCAGAAAAAAGTGACTTTCGAAGAAATCCCCTCACCCCAGTAACAGCAAGATCAGGAGAGAAAGTGCTGATTTGTATTATTCACATAAAAAGATGGAGATAAGAAATGCATTCAGCGACTAGAGCTGGGTCGCCCCTGCTGCCTGCGGAGGAGGGAGCGTGTTCAGGCGAGACATTTGAAGGAACCGTTCATTGACATCACGTTTTGAAAAGGCAAACCACTCCGCTCCTTCTACATGAAGGACTGGGAGCATAAACAACAATGGCTTCTTCTTAACAGTCATCTGATTCGGACCAGAAAGAGGGTCAAACAGCAGGCAAAAAAAATATATATATGTGTATCTTTTTCTCTTTTTACATACAGTAAACAACTTTTAACACAAAAGATGATCATGTAAATTTAAAAGATATGAGATTTGATCAAAAAAATTACTTCTTTCAATCCAACTGTGAATTCTTTGCTACAAAAGCATGAAAGAGTACCAATTAGGAGCAAACACATGGCCTCGTAGGAAACACTGCTGTAAGGGAGCGCCGCAGATCGACCGGACAGGGAGGGCGCCGCTTTAAAATTAAAACCTACATTCCAACAGTGACTGAGAACGTCTACTGCTCCGTTAAGACATCGCCTTGATTTTAGCAAAGCCAAACACGAGAAATCAGTGTTTGACTCGGTGCATCTCTTTATGATTCAAATACTAATTTCTGCATCTCTACAAAGAGACAGGATGTTATTGCCAACACTGACAATTAGAAGGGAAAGGCAGCTTCTGAATTATAAAATACTGGTAGACATTCATGAAGTGAGGACACAAAGTAATAGACAGCATTAGTATTGATTCGTTTCTTCAAAAGGAGTGTAAAAAATTGCACCCCGACATAAATGACAAAAAAAATAAATAACTTAAAAGATTAAACTTTGCAAGCATATTATGTGGAGAAAACTCATGAGCTGTTCACTTTTTAAATATTCAAACACAAATTAGATGCATTTGGTGTAGAAAATGCTAATTTCATCTTAGAGGTTGATTTAATCCAGTTTCAAAAGCATGTGATGCAGATTTTTTTGGAATATCTCCGGATGAACTCTCAGACTTTCTGAAGGCAGGGAAGGCTGCTGAGAAGCCATCTATCTGGATCGACTTTATCTACACTCATAGATCCTAACCAGATTATTAAAGGAAAGAAAATAAACGGCAAAAACGCCCCCAAACAAATGTAAAATAAACTGATCATGTGTCCCACCAAGCCTCAATGAACCAGATTTGTCCCTTCATGTAATTCATGTTAGTGGAAGAGGAATCCAGAGCCGTCCTTTCATCTGCCAGGTTTCCAGGCAGAGCAGGAAAACAGACTCTAGGTTTAAAGTTGCTGATGATCGTACTCCGCGATAAGTTTCTTTATATGAGCCAGCTTGTGGTGTAGATATTCACAGCGGTTCTTCTCTTGGCTATAGTTTGGATTAGTCTGTGGAGAAAGAAGCACAGAGTGAGGACCTGATTATCTGCTTACTTTGCTCTTTTCACTGAAATTCAAAACAAATGCCTACCTTTTTGATTTTATGATACTCTTGAAGTATTTGATTGTGGATCGACTGTTAGGAAAAACAAAGATAAAAAAAAAATTATACATGTATTTATGTTTAACCCCCACCTAAAAATCACCCTAGCATTATCTTAATTCATACAAGGTTTTTGCAAGTTTCTGTAAATTATATTTAACCCAAAGCTGGCCTATTCTATGCTTTCCATTAGTGCTGCGTTTATAGATTTCTATAAATCAAGCCACTGGCTGCGGATAACAACAGTTTTTCCTCTTTTACTTGATTGAAGTTGTTTATTTAGGGAGTTAAACCTTGTTTTGGGTCTGCAGGTCCAGCTAAATGTGTGGACATAAACTGCATTAGACAGAACTCATGTTTTACTCCTTCATCATGGGTAGAAATGCACAAATAAAGTTTTCTTTTTATGGCAGCGCCAACATTCCAATGTTCTTACAGGTCTGGCCTTTCTAAATGCGATTTGGACTGATACCTTTTTTCCTTCTAAAGAACAATAATTCACAAAAGCGATGCTGTTGGTTCATGGACTGAAAATGTTGAGCGTTCTTGACCCAATAAGATGGCCATTGTTCTGGATATTATGTTTACATGTCAAAGTTTAAACCTGTGGAGCTTAAACCAAACAAGATAGAAATAACTATTCTAAATGTAAAACAAGAGAAATTGCAACATGCATCGCCGACAGTTATGGCTTAAAATGCATCAGTGCATCATGGGATAGCACATAACAGAGCCTGTCAAAGATAAGAGGATATGAGAGCCATCACAGATACTGCTGTTAGTTTTTAAAACAACCTTCTGGGATTTAATTCCTGACTTTGGGATCTACCGCATCTCTTTCTGTTTCGGTTCCTAGCAGATCCAAAATGTCTACTAGGGTGTTAAAGTAGCTGTCAGTTGAGTATTTTAATGAGTTACACTTTTATGTTTCTTAATTAGTTATACAAACAGAATGCTTCATAATTACTTATACACAGAGAAAGCAACCCCTGGGTTGAAGGACGGGTCGTTTTTGATCAGTGTTGGTTTTGAATGGGCTCCATTATGCTTTCCAACTAATGAAGGTGTTTATAGCTGTAACGCTTTCCTCCAACAGAAAGAAAGAGGTCAGTAAAATGTGGAACAGTATTGTTTTACATCATGATCTACATTTATGACGCCAGGCCGCATCCAATCAAAGCTGGTTTAAGCATTACAATGCCAACTTGTAGGGAAATCCTAAATCGGTCCGACATCAGTCAAAAATGTATGTTTGTAATGCAACTTAAAATCTCTGGTATCAGTTTGCTGGCAAAATTCTCCACTTCCATCCACAGCTGCTTAAATTTTATGTAGCCCACTGGTTAATAGTAAAAGGTTTAGGTGTTCTGGTACCTAATGTTGATTTCCATTAGTATCACTTGATTAAGCCTTTTTTAACATTCGGCACTACAAAATAACTAATAAAAGTATTTAAGATTAGTGCTATTATTGTATTGGGTCAATATCGATACCAGTTAACACTGAAAGCTGAAATATCTGTGTTTTATTGGAAAAATACCTGCTAAAATGTCTAATCTAATTAATTCAATCTAAAATATCATATCAAACCAAGCCCTTTAACAAATGGCTTCTGTGGGGTGACTGACAAATAAAAATGATAAAATATTGCCCCACTAGCAACGAATGACGTTAGATGCATATCTACATATGTAAAGAATATCACAACTAAGAAAAACAATAACAAAAGTATGTTGTAGTAAAAATGTACCTTGTTTAAATTAAAGTATTTACATGTGTTTTTGGACCTTTGTTCACAAATTAGCATCTTAAAATGTGATATACGCTTCTATATTAATTATTCAGTGATGTGCATAGTACTAAGATTATCAACGTATTTACATGTCTTACTGTTAAAATGTCAAGATCTCCAGCAGACTGATTCTACGGAAGGTCTTAGAGGGGAAAAAAAGCCATAATTTTCAGCGTGTGACCTACTGGTTACCAATCACGGCCATATTCTGATACATCTTAATATATGCGTGCAGTTCATTTATCAATACAACAGCTGAAGTCCTCAATAAGAGGGAAAAAAAAACAAAACATAAAACAAATTGAACCAACTCAGTCGTATAAGAAAGCTTGGTGAAAATGGCTATATATGAATGGTACATACAAACTGAGAGTCGATTTTATGTAATTGTCTGAGACTTTTACTGACCTGATAGGAAACCTACTAAAATGACATTTCTGTGCCTTGCAGAAACCATGCTTTTATTGTTTTTCAGTCATAAAGTCAGTTTTGTATTTTTCATATTTCATGTACCTTGTACTTGTCTGTGCCATGTTGAAGCTGTTTCAGCTCGTTGTCGAGCACAGTGAACTGCCGGGTGATGCCCTCTATTCGAGCATGCAGACCCCGGTACTCACTATACTCAGCGTTGAAATCATTTTTATACTTCTGTCGCTGCTCCGGGGAGTTGATCACCGTGTATTTCCTAAGATTGAAAATGACAAAAAATATTAGCCAAGAAACTCCCGCATCGTTTAATGGTTTTTGTTAATTGCTTCATCAAAGTAGGAAAAAAAAGCACTGGATTCATTTCACACAATTGTTAGCTAGAGTAACTCCTGCAGGAGATTTATGTTGCACTTGTCGCACGTTATCAGCACTATGGCCAACCGCTGCTCTCCTTAGGGATCCACCAATCCAATTAAATAAGGGTCCAGTGAATGCATTTCTAAATGAATAGTGTAACAGTCCTCATTATAACTCCTGATATTAGATATTGGATTTTATGATTTTATGTCTGCGGGACCCTCAGCAAGGCATGCAACTGTAATCTAAAGAAAAAAAGACAAAATTTAAGTAATGCAAGCAGGTTTGCTGTTAAAAAAAGAAGTTCTAAAATGTTTGTTTCTGCCCATAAAGGAGGAACCAATCTTGTTCAAAACTATTACATTAAAAACTAGTCTATATAACTTGAGAGCAGTGTTGTTTTCGTCAACGATGACGAAATTATTTCGTTGATGCTTCCTATTTTTTCATGACAATAACGAAAACTGACAAGCTAAACATGGATCTTTGATGATGAAAACATGACGAGTAATGGGTGTGAGTTTTCGTATATGGGACGAGACTAAATAAAGATGTTAGCGCTGGCCTGTCAGATGTTTAAAATGCATTCTTGTGCTGTAATCTACTAAGCAGTATCAGCTGTGCTACCGTGTCCTGTTTGGTCATGCCACCGAGATGGACCATGGCAGCAGCAACAGGGATGAAGGTAAGCCAGAATCGTCCGATACTGCGCGCTTAACTCTGACAAACTCTGCTCTTCCAACTGTGCTTGAGCAGAAATGCATCTTTGCAGGCTTAGCTCAGAGTCTTGTGCTCCACAGCGATGGTTCGCTCTCAGCAGTACGGCTCTTCCTGCTCTCGCTACTTAATAAACTATATGGGGCTGATCATCCTCTGCCAAGCGTAAGAAATCCATTTGTCTAACTATCAGGAATTTATTTCTTCCAGCTCACAAGAGGTGATGCAAAAGCTTTTTTAATTTCCACCAAAAGGCATCTCCAAATTGTATACAAAGCAAATATTTAATTACCGTATTTTTTATTTTTTGATAAAGACCCATAGGAAAAGGTACATAGATCTTTGAATATTTCTCTCTCATAGTTCTTGTTTCTATCTACTTAAATATTTCAACATTTTTGTTCACATATTCTTGAAATTTAGGTCTGGATTGCCATGACATTATAGGGCAATTATGTAGGTTCTCTGTGTATTTTTTCAGATCAGACCCCTTTGAATTTAAATCTACTTTGACCCTGAGCAGTAGTAACCAAGGGGCAAATCCTTAGACATAAAAACAAGATTGCCAAAGTAGAAAGAAGAAAGTTTTTCTTCTTTGCTCTTTTGGAGTAATGAAGATTGATTGGTCTGTGTGTAATGCATAATTAATGGTGGATCAAGAAGTGCTTGCTTTGGATGGAAACCTTGTATGTCTAAAAACATTTGTATTTTGTTGGTCTGCTATATTAACCAATATAATGTGTTGAACTAGATCTGCTATTTTCACAACTTTTGTGGGAAACTTTTTTTATAAAGTGAAGGCATTAATTCATAAAAAAGTTTATTTTAATTCTATAAATGAAAGTTTTCTGCCCAACAGCAATTTTGGTATCTAGGTAAGAGCCGTCAGTCTGGTAAAGAATCTGGTTGTTTTTCAAAAGTGTAAAGGTTACATTTTATGAAGTGCAACATAAAACGACAGCTGAATGAGTTTCTAAATTACAGCTACCGTATAATGGCGTATTAGCAGTGTATTGGTATAAAAGCGGGTTCACAGAAGGAAACCGTGAGTACTCATCCAGAATGCATCCGCAACATACGGCAAGCGAGAAGGTGAATGTGATAAATCCTCCCTGCGTTCACGCCAACGGCCACAACCAACAAACTTCCTAGCAGACATGACGCTGAATCTGTTGCAAATGCAAACCTTCTTTTTCTTTTTATTCATTTATTCTTTTTTTTTTTTGGCGGGCAGTAAACGGCAGCTAGGTTAATAATGTGATCAAAGACATCTTTTGAGGTATTGGACTGCCAGAGATCCGTATTTAAATTACTTCAACTGGGACTGTGGACAAGAATTCCTGACTGGGAAATTCAGATTCCTTATCTGGTACCAGCATAGAGAAATTATTTGATACTCACAATAAATAATCTGCAACTTCAGGTGATGATGAAGGAATACTGGTAGCTTTGCACATCCCATTCAGATCTGAAACAAGGGCACAAGCATTACAACTTGTTAAAAATGCCGTCATCTGTAGTTTTCAAACAAATCTACAGAAAACCTATAAAAAAAAAAGCCATGGATTGATTATATGTGTGATATATTTCTAACAGTTTTACAACCAAGTTGCTCTGGCATCCCATTGTCCTGTTGATAATACAATCTCTATGGAATGTAGGTCATGGCAGTTTCCTGGCCTATCAAGCACAATGATACCATAGTTTCTTGGAAGATGCTTGCTCCAACTTTAAAACTGATAAAAACCCATTGAATCTACATCTACAGAAAGCATCGCACCCAAATCATTTGACTGTGGAAACTTTACACTGACCCTACAGAGACTTGGATTCTGCACCTCTCAACTCGTTCTAGAAGCTTCAACCTTAGAATCCAAAATGTGCTTTCACCTGAAGCGTCTTTTCTCCCTAAGCACCAGGTAGGACACGTCAGATGTTTCTGGTGCAGGAAAAGCTCAACTCAAAGGATGGAAAAGTTGTAGCCCATCTCCTTCCTGTGCATCTCTGTAAGCGCCTGCTCCTAAAGCGCACACTACAGCCACAGTTGACGCCAAAATGAAATTCATCTCACACTCCTCTCAAATCTGTGAGTATTTATGTGCACTTTTATTTAACCACATATTTCCATCCACTCAATTTTTCAAAATCTGAATATCAGGCTTCTTTAGCAATGGGCCTTGGAGTTGGTGGCCATCAGCTGGACAAACACTGCAGTCAGCAGCCTACTTTGTGACCGAGAAAGTCTGTCAGCTTTTTGTTTCTCCCTTCAGCTGTAACCCATAATCATCAAAATAAACTGAAATAAGCACTTGATACTCTGACTAGTTGAGAGTGACCTTCATACATGGACTCACTAGAGAAGTGAACATTTGGACATTATTTTGAACAGCAGGGGTCTCACTTTAGTCATTGAGAAGCTCACAGGTCACATAATTCATCACCTACTCACTGCAATGACTGACATGCCTGTCCACATAAAGTAGTATTTTATTGAGAAGGACCCTAATCTGATGATTTGAACCAACATGTGTGAGGTTTTTGGTGTTACCTGTGCTTTTTAATGCAATACTGTTGTTCTTGGAGTTCTTCAGGCTCATTTCACAGGCTGCTTTAGGCTCAGACAAAGGCTCCGGACAGACCTTTTTCTCCTTCTCCCTCCCTTTCCCCTTGCTTTTCTCCTTGTCTTTATGCTTTTTTGACTTCTTTTTGGTTTTGTTATTAATTGCCATAGGGCTACTGTCCCGTGGGCCTTCCAGCACCGTGTGCCCGGAGGAGGATGTGCCGATGCTCGGAGCGAAGGCCACCGTCGGCATAGACGGAAGCGACGGCGGCTGACTGAGCCGCTCGGACAGCGCCGCTTCCTGAGAGTCGCAGTCCCGCCCGTTGTTGCTGGAGTCATTGCTGACGTCTGATAAAGCCTCGAAAGGACGAGGGATGTCCAGCATCGGGAGTGGCTGTGAGCCGGATGTTACGCCGCCTTCGGATGTAGACAACGGCGCTCCCACAGAATCTCCTTTGCTGCAGGAAGAGCTGAGCTTGCCGTTCACTTGGACTGTTGCAGCCTTGTTGGCAAGGTGTGATATTCTGGGCTTTTTGTTGACAAGAGGGTCAATGAAGTCAGCAGCAGGTCGTTTCTATCAAATAAAAAAAAAGTGATTTCAGCAGCGAGGAAAAGACGACACATGATTGTTGCAGGTAAAATGATATTACAGAAAGGCTTTGGACACTGGTGAAAGGTGGTCTAAAACTGTAAAGATGGATTATTTCACCATTAGACAATGAAAGACTAATACAAAACTGATAAGTGACTTAAAAGAATTAACATCATAATTAGAATCCTCCTTAATAATAATATTGCTGTGGGGAAAAAAGAAACATCTGAACCAACCAAACCACGGTTCCCCAAAATTGGTAAACCTATTAAAAAGCCACATCAATAATAAAAATAACGCAATGGTAGAAAAACAAAGGAAGAATTATTCTGCTGACTTCTGTTCAATATTTAGCACTTCAAGGGTGTAAAAGGTGGCAAACAGGATGGCGTAGGTATGAAAGCTACTGTACTTGTCCACTGAGCATGAAAAGTATATTGAAGAACTTCCTGATTTAAACCACATGAACCCAAGCTTACAAAGCTTTATGTGGCTTGTTAGAAAGAAACTTTTATAAATTAAGTCTTCAGTACTGCTGTCTTTTTGTGTTTGTCTGTGTGTTCTTGTTAATGTTATGTTTGCTGAGGGAGGGTCCGGAAAGAATGGGGCAACAGTCGTGTTCTGAAGAGAAAACAACCTGAAGGGAAGGAGCCATTAAAAACTGAGCCAGTTTCATTTTCCCGTCTAATGAAAATGTAAATAATCCTGCTGGACGTTTGTTTAGTAATCCAAGCCAAACAGAAGCATTTAGAAATCAGTAACTGATTAAACAAAATAAAAAATGCATTCAAGAGAAAAAAAATTTTAAGGATGTGATATTCAAAGAAATGCGACCACAGGAGGACAAGGGAAGATGGACTCACCTGAGATGGAGAAGTGGATCCCAGCTCTTTGGGAGGACTCTCTGGTACAGGGGCAGAACTGCTTTGGGCCTGTTTTCTGTGGGAATTCATGGGAGGGGGGATATATGCGGAGATGCAATTAAATAATAATAAAATAAATTATGAAACAGCAATAGATAAAAAAAAAAAAAACTAGCACCATCTGAAGATATTTATCCACTTTAAGGTTCTCGGCATTACAGTATGTCACCGTATCCACACCTCATTTTATTCTAGTTCAATATTTTGCAGCAAAACTGCACTTAATAGTGAAGATAAGGAGACTTTATACATGGTTTTCATTTTGTTTTGCTATAAAGAACACAGAAGGGGACATTATTATTTTGTATTAAAACCCCTTTACCCTCAACCCCATAACTAAATGCAATGCAAGCATCTGTATTCAAATGTCACCTAACTAGTAAATAGTTAACTTGTGTGTACCCTAATCTCATTTTAGTATAAATATATTTGGGGTCCTTACAAAAAAATTAGAGGAGAAGCAGAAATCAACAGCTCTGCTGTTAAAATGGATTAAAAGGATAATGCAAAATGTCCAACAGAAAACAAAATGCAAACTCCCGTCCCATATGAAACACAGGAGCATCATCCCTATAAGGGGATCCTTTGGTTTAGCAAAGGTGTGACATAGAACTAGAGCTGAAGCAATCGGGTTAATGATAATTAATCCGTTACTGAAATAATAAACTTAGTAATCGATTAATGGTTAAAAGGAGGATCGAGACTTTAAAACATGCCTTTAGCTGACAGAACAGTTATTAAACCAAAATCGTAAGAAGATATTTAAACATTTGGCATTAAAGATAAAAATATTTTTCGTCTGTTAATATGTTCTATCCAGAACTCAAATGGAAAAGTTTAGCTATTTGGTTACTTTGGCTATCTGATAAATAATCGATTAATTGAAAAAAAAAAAAAAAAACAATCAACAGATTAACTGGTTTGCAAAATAATCATTAGTTGCAGCAGTAGATGGAACAAAATACATGATAAAATTGATGGAAAACCAGTTGGAGGTAGGACAATTCTCAAGAATGCAGTAGTTCACATTCCAGCAGAACTGAATCACTAAACACACATCCAGAGCAACTATACAATGGTTTTAAATTAAAATTTAATAATGGGTTAAAACAGCCCAGTGAGAGTACACATAAAAATACAACTGAGCATCTTTGTTAATTACATTTGATCTATTTAGCAAATAATAGAAATATATAAAATGGCCAAAACAATCCTTCATGCTATTCTATCTGTTAGAGATATGCCCTAAAAAGTCTATTGCAAATGCAGCAAAAGGTGTCCAACCATAACTCCAAAACTCCTCAGCTTCCATCTTTTTGATGACAAGAAAATTATATGGAAGCGGACTTCAGAGACAAGTTAGTTGCTGTGAGAAGCTGAGTGGGTAGCTATGACAACTGTGAAGGAGGAAGAAGTTGACAGAAGCATTTCTAATCACAAGCAGATTATGCTAATCTTCAGTAATTAAAATCACATATTTCTATTAGTTTAACCCCATTTAGTTAAAAAAAAAAAAAGTGTTTATTATCTTCTGATCTCAGACAAAGCTGAGTGTTTATTTTATAGGTTTTTTTCAGCTATGGCAGCTTGTTGGATTCTAGTGAGACAGCGGCCTGACAGTCTGCAGTGGCAGAAAGAAAGTGAGAGCGAGAGAATATGGTGCTGCAGCTCACTTTGAGGACGGATGCCATTTGGCCAGCGGGATTAGGAAAACACTAGCTACATGCTTGTTTAGAGGAAGTGAGGCACTGGTTTTGTTTGTTCCTGAAAGGCTTTATTCCTGACCACCCCCACACAGTTTGCATGACTGCACCAGTCACACCTGCTTTGGAACAGGAGCACTTTTGCCTTTATTTAGCCAGAAGGAAACATTACAGCTCCAGGTATAAAAAGAGGCTCATATTGCATGAGAGCAAACTGTTAGGTGGAAGCAGCCAAGGAGCTGTGCTGATATGAAGCTGACCGAGTCACACAAACTGATCTTCTGCGAGAAGATTAAATGAGGTCTCCAGATAAAAAAGAAACCTCAATCCTTTTTTTATGCACACTGGTTTGCAGCATTAAAGCTGCACAGCTTGCTTTCTCTGGATTGTAAGACTGCAGAAATAGAGAATATTTTGGTTGCAAAGTTCAGAAGCATTTTGCAGTTGCACAGCCACAGCTGATGACAAATCAGTAGTGGAGCTCTAAGATAGCCCCGTCCCTGCATCGGCATGGTTAAATAAGGGTGTGCGGCTTGGCGTGTCTGCCAAGAGGACACTCCCACAGGCAGGAAGGCAAGGGGACTAGAGGCAGACAGATATGGCTGAACCTTGGACAGATGCCACCTCACACACAGATCAGCATGTGCTGGAACACTGTTGCATCATGTGCGTTCCAGTCATGTTGCTCTGCTGCTCCTGCGTGACTTTCTGCATGAGTTCCAAAACTCTAGAGGAACTAAGGCGGGGGAGGACAAATTGGGTAGGAGGCTCTGGTTGTTAGTCAGCTGATGAACTCAAACCGAGATCAAAGTGCAAAAAAAAAAAAAAAGAAGACAGAGAGAGAATGTGCAGATTTGCACTTTTTGTTTATAAAAGGAAAAGTAGGCCTGTATATTCCTTGGATGCACTGGGAATGATAGAAAAAGAAATCCATTTGAATGACGTAGTCCAGTTGCATGTGTGGCCTTTGTGAAACTGTCCATCTGTGACAGCCACAGTTTACAGCTGTGTTAGCGCTCCCAACACTGTTAATCAAGGACTATTAGGGGCGTCATAAAACTATTTTCTCATTTCCGATACAGATACTACAGCTTTGAGTATAAAATGATACAAATATTGGTCCAATGCCATTTCAAAATAAGTCATACATCATCTTATAGCTTATTTCATCATCTCCAGTTTCAGAAAAGGCTTGATGAGATGATGATTACTTAAACAGTAAACATAGGCAACAACAAACTGTCAGATTAAATGGAGACAGCTGCATTTACCAGACTAAATAGGGGTTAAAAAAACAAAGACAAGAAGGAAAAAATAGTATTTATTTATAAAACCTAATAAAATCCATGTAGACATACCTGAACAAAATTCTCTTGAGAAGCTGCTGGTCTCCCTCGGTGTACCCCGGCCAATCTTTCTGGACTTCCTTATACATGAAATCCTTCAATGTGAAGGTATTTTCTTTCCCATTTAGATTGGCGACCTACGAACAAAAATATGTTACCACTCTGATCACCACTTAATCTGGGGGGTGAAAGCTGACATTTAAGCGAGAGTGGAAAAAGGACAAATGTTGTAGATGTTTGCTTCACATGTGAATGACTCACCTGTTGCAGGTGGCTGTCCAGGGATTCTTTGTCCAGCTGTGAAAGGCCGTCCTTCTGCAACCTTAAAATCAACTCAGGCTTTTTGTAAGGTTTCAGGGCCAGCAGGTGTATGAGGCGCTCACGGAGAGGCCGGTGCTGAGTTGTGCATTTTTTTTGCGTACTGCTAGAGATGAGGACAGGCCGAGATGTCCTCCGTGAGGGAGCCACATCTGAAAGACCAGGCGCTGGTTTCCGGATCTGGACTTTCTTACCTAAAGAAAACAGAAATACATTCAAAGATTTAAAAGACACTTAAGTATATTTATACTTTGGTAATTAAGCTTTCATCTTTTCAGTTTTACTTCTTGGATAAGTACACTTCTTTATAGTTATAAGTAAAAGAAGGTCCACACAGTAGTGATGCACCGATAAATTAGAGACACAGAAACCAGACTATATTTAGCTCAATTTGCACTGAATGTTCCAACTGACATCAGGTTCTACCAGGTCACATGAATATAAAGTAGTGACATTTATTGTAAGGAAACTGCATCAGAGAGCTACACTTTTAGTAGGAAGACTGACCTATGAAGTTGCTCCATTTAACATTGTTCAGCTTTTAACCTGCATGATAAACTGCTAAACTTATCAGTTGACTTTTGGAAATCTGAGTTATGGCATGGATCTTTATTCTCCGAGAAAAAATGCAAATTTTTTCCAAAGCTAGCTACAGTCAGTCCTAATATAAGTTTTGCTTATGATAAAAAAAACAAAAACAACCAAGGACATTAGATTTTTAAAAACTTTACATTTTTGCACGTTGATAGCCTTCAAATGGCTTTAAAATAGAAAGAATAACTCTTAAAGCAATTTACAAAAACAAAAAATACTTTGTAATAGAAAAAGAGAATAAAACAGGAAGTAAGGATCAACATCTGGGCAGATGTTTTAGAGCCTTAGCTTCAAGCAGTGCTGAGATGATGTGAGGAGCTTCTTTAGAATACAGCTGCTTCTTTTGTTCGTGCACATAATGACTAAATCCCAGAAACATTTAGCTTTTGACTTCAGTGAGGCCTTTTCTTTAGGAACGCCGACATTAAATCAGTGGCTCTGCACCATCGTCTCTTCTCTCCGTCTGTGTTAAAGACATGATGAACAGCCACCTGCATTGCAGCTCCTCAGCCAATCGGAGTCATGCATGCGTATCTCAGCTCCCTGCTCCTTCCTGAAGCAAACATCTCTTTCCAGAAAGAGAGAGAGAGTGAGGTTTTGAAAAATCTCTTTGTTTGACTGAGTTAAAGCAACAGGCAGCATTAGATTGATTAGATTGCAAGTAATGTAGCAATATATGAAAAATAATTAGATTACCTTTCTAACTGTGCTATTATGCAACAGTTACTCCCAATACTTTCCATCAGTACCTTCTTTACTGGCGCAGAGTAATAAACATTTTCAAATTAAACCAGTGTGAATAAACTGAGATATAAATATAAAGCTTCTGTTTCAAAGATTTTATTATGAAGTCACTATTAATGTTTCATCCAGTTAAAGTTTGACCACTAAACTAAATATCTGGCTCATAAAAAAACTAGATCAACCCTCCAAGTATTCCTGCCTTATTATAATCACTTTAATTCCTTAAAGTTATCAAAAATAAGCCCGCTCTTGAACATTTCATAACAAAATAAGCCAAAGAAGTTGAAGAGCACATTGACCTACTTTATTACATGAGTGGGGCGCGGATATTATATATATATATATATATATATATATATATATATATATGGTGGTTTTATTTTTGAAAGCAGATAACAATTCCAGGGAAAAGTCTTTCTGTTAACCAAAAGCTAACACTAGTTTAGCAACTGGAACCCATTTATTGAAAATGTGGGTAAAGATAAAAAAAAAAAAAGCATGATATGTGTAGCCAAACGTTCTGTCTGCAATCTGATCCTCCTCAAAAACTTTAAATACTAGATGATAAATTCTTCAGCAGAACAGACATTTTAATGACAATGTGGCACCAAGCTGCTTTCTGGGTCTAGAAAACCCATCTCTATTTTTAGAAGAGCTAGTAAAGATCTGGGTCTGGCATCGGCTCTGTTTAAATGTTGGAATCATCATAATGGAAAAACACTGAGCGCCATTTGGGAAATAATCTCATACTAAATAAATTCCTTCTTGACAATGAGGAATACTGACTTTTAGTCATCTGGTATTTGATCCAAACAACCTGTCAGATCCAGAATAAACCGAATCCCCATCCCAGCAAAGCTACTTAATAATGGGATGCTTTCAGGGTGAGTCTTGTAGTGTGACATATTTATAGTGTTGAGGTGCTAAAACTAGAGGCCACGTTATTATAGAGCAGTCTTATTGAGCACAAGGCTAAAAGAAGCTAATTATACAATGACTGACAGCATGTTTGGGTCAATATGAAGCCTCCTCACCTACATATCTTCCCCCTGGCTTAATGACGATAGCGCTCCTACTGCGAGTCTCCTCCTCAACCTGGGCCATGTTTTCTCTAGCCTTCTGGTAGGAGTCGTCGGTCGCTCTCACTGTGATCTTGTCCTGGATGCTGCCCAGACAATCCAGCTGAATGCTCCCTTCACTGCCAAAACAAAGAGCAGGGACTGAGGAAAACACAGATAGGAAAAAGATGGAAGTCAAAGCAGCAATTTTTATATACCTCAGTATTCTCACATTTACATTTTGTAGAAACCATTTTTTCCACTGAATGTACCTAGAGACTGGGTGAATTTTTTCCAATGTCTTGCAACTAACTACTGTTCCACTGAGAGCAGACAAGTGATGCATCAAATGTGATCCTTTACCGACTCTCTCTCATTCTTACTCCACTTTGGCAGAAAATGAGATGGTGCAGACCCAGTCTGTAAAAGCTGAGCTCAGTCATTTGGGTATCAGACTGCAATCTAAGCCTGATTAGAATCCAGGAGTCCTCAATGAACTCTGCCTGACGCACATGTTAAAAATACTTTTAGAAGAAATCAGGTCAGAAATCTAAGACAAGATTACAAGATTCTTATTGCCTCTTTTCTTCATGACGCTATTTATTTTTTGATTAAGGATGCATAAATGTCTGCAGATATGGAATCATATCAATTTAGGAAGCCATGAAGAAAGTCCTACGTTAATTTAAAAAAAAACTTTTCCAGTATACCTCAAACCGTCATTGCAACTGAAGAAGAGAGACTGCTTTAGATTTTCACCTGGTGATGTACTGCTGGATGCAGTCGAAGCTGCCCTGGGGGTTATCTCTGCCCACATTCGATAGGTCGAAAGTAAACGTTTGCTGCTCACTGGAAGTTTCTGAGCGTGGTATTGAAATTTTCTGTTAGAGACAGAGCAAAAAAAAAAAAAAAAAAAACACATTCAATCAAAATCCGTTTCAAGATCTAAATTTTAATTCTAATTAAAAGACTAAAACACAAATGAATGTATTCATTAACTTAAGATCTGTAACATTTTGTGGACCTAGACGTTGTAATGTAATACTAGGAAATGAGATGCTCCATAGATGCCTCAAACATTTCTTCTAAAATAAAAAAAAAATCTATAACAAAGAAAAGCAGCATTTAATTTCAGATCATCATTATAATCCAATCATGGCCGGGTTAATAAAATCCATGTTCAAAACTAAAAATAATTTCTGGAGCACCTCTTCTTTATACAATATACGATATACTGCACACTGCCAGTCAGCAGGCTAAAAGTCCAACACCACCTTTCTCTTATTGCAATAAAACAATCTGGCTGTTCGGAAACATTTGAAGCGACAAACAATGTGAACAGTCATGATGTGGAAAACGACAGCTCATCACATCTTACTTTAAGGCATATTTTAAACTACAGTAAACAAGCAAGCGATTTAATGACTTCTAGAACTGACAGTATGACTAAACCAGCAAGGATTATACCTGTATTACTCTTTAAAGAGCAGAACAACATGTCTGTCGCTTTGCTACATGCATCAGAATAGAAAATATATCATCAAATTGGAATTCTATATAATTCTAAAATACTATAATAAAAATAGTAAGAATAATTGTTAGTCTTATATTTAGTAAAAAATATTTTTAATATATTATTCATCACAGCATCAGCCCCCAAAAGTCTGTTGCTGCAATGGAGGTTAAAGTCTAGCAGCTGCTCCGTATATATGCATGATTCTAGTTTCACATTTATAGTTTTTAAAACAACTGCTTTGCATTGTGAATCACTTTCAACTAAGTAACTGCTAAATTCCATGTATGTTCTTTAAAACCAGCTGATTGATTCTCCTAAAGTGGAAAGAAATAGTTTGGAAACCAACAGCAGAAATGTGGACGCTGCATGCTAGTAAGGGTTTTGATTCTCATGTAGAAGCAGAAGGCTTTAGTTTGTTGGTTTCATCAGGTGTCACACATCACACTGATCCAGTTCATCACCACAAAGAAACAGCAGTCGTTCAGATTGTGTTTCGGCTCCAGTTCATTGATAATAAGAAGCTCGGGATGTGACTCTGTGTGTTTTATCTGTGCTACAACAAACACGCGGTCAAGATGTCGGCTGCTCGGCTCCGTTCAAAGATCTCAGGATGTGAGCAGACCGTGAGTTACAACGAGCTCTGCTTATACTGCAGCTCATCAACATGAGAGCGTGAAAGGATTTAGAGAATTTAGCAGTCAGCAGCATCACATTTAGAAGCTGAGGGAGATCTAGACAAAAGGTTTTATAGACGGTGATTCATTATAAACATGGCAGCACTCCTTTTAGGAAGAAAAAATAAGTATTCCATCAAAAGAAAAGGTCTACTGATGTAAATATCCAGATAAACAACACTGTTCAGCGTGGATGATGTAACTAAAGTAAGAACTATTGGATTTAGTGAAGATACTAAAAGGACATCAGAGGGAGCTGCAAGGAGTTAAACAATTTCTGCAACTTTTGCAGATCAATCAGGCAGAAACGAAGAGAGAGAGTAAGACTTTTACCTGATAACAGGAAGGTTTAACAAAACGCCTCATCTATTATATAATATCATTAATCCAAAAAGGTTGCAATTGTTTTAAATCTTTAAAAGGGTAAAGATCTAAAATTAGAGAAAGGCTTTTTAATGGTGCAAGTTGTGCTGGTCACAAATATAAAATATTAGGTGGCCTGTTTAAAATCTCCACTCTGGATCATCATCTTTAGTATAAAAAAAGAAAAAAAAGAAAAAAGTTAATAATATAAATCTTAATATTAAATTAGTACCACTGGACGTCTCAGTTTAAATATCAGTACCAACATTGGATGCTACATCCAATCAATTGGAATTAATTTGTGTCTCTTAAGTCTCTTAAACCTTACATGGTGCCAAGATGAAACTCAAGGGTTATAATCATGATGGAAAACAAATGAGGAAAAAGCATCTCGATCAAAAAAGAATTAATTACAATCTTCAAAAGAAAAAAAAAAATATTCCTGTATTTTAAATATAAGAATGCTGTTAAATTACAATTTTAATTTCATTGTGAGGCTGTTCATCCGTCTTCTTATTTACTTCTTAAGGAGATACTCGTACATCTCCCAAGCAATTCAGATCAGATAACATCTTTGTTAAAAAAATATCAATATGGATGGCTAAAAATGAATATAAAACCATATAGAAAATACATTAATAGAGCTGCACAATATTAGAAAATCTCAAATTGGTAAAAATTACACAGCAGGTTTATGTAGAAATATAGTTTCCTTACTCCTCTGCTCTGAATCCCTCTTCCAGCGTGACCTATAGCTTCTACTGCAATACGACATCAAGCAACAGCCTGAAGACCTCTTTAGCAAGCATAGTGTGAAGATAATGCAATCTAATACATCAGTAAACTATTATAGAAAAACAAACATCCCTTTGTGCTATTGGCCAATACAATCTGTAACCACAATATCAAGTGTTTTAAGTGGGAAACTTGTTATCATAGAACATAAAAACAAAAATATTTTATGAAATGCAATCAATATGTCCCAAAAACAATGGGACAACACAATCTATGAAGAAATCTATCTAGTAATCTGGAGAACCTTCAGTACTGCAGTGCAGAAGTCTAAGCATAATGTTCCTCCATATGAAATAAAAATAAACTTTGTAGATTCATCTATGATCTACAGCACTTACTGTCAAAGGAAAAACAAGCCTCCTTACAAACGTTAAGTCAGAGTGATCTTTTCGATCACACTGCAATAAAAACATGCAGGATTCTTTCCTGGAAGTCATTGTAGGAGTGCGGAAAACACTTCCAGGTATTGTTGAAGGAACACAGTTTGTCTAGAAAGAAAATCCTCCAACAAGGTGCTCTGATGATTGCCTGCTTGAGTGGCCTTCTGTCTGAAAAGCTGTACTAAACAAAATTTAGTAGAACTATTTTGTATACACAGAGTGTATAAAAAAAATGACAATAAAGGTTGTCTTATTCTAAGTCTAAACAAGAATGAATATAAACAGCCAATCAAGCCAACAGCAAATCTAATTACATAGTTATCTGTTATATTAACCAAAAATATATTTACAATTCCTGTTTTAGCCATTTAAAACAAGCTGAAATCAGGACAGTATAGGTGTCCTCTAAAATAAACTAGTCTGTTCATCTTAATCTTACAAAATATACAAATAAAAATAGGCAGTCAAAAACATTTGACATGTAACCATTTCTCCTAATGGCCCCCTTTAGAAGTTATTGTTTTTTTTTTTCATATCGACATAAGTGACACTGAAATTTAGCCTGGCTTATAAAAAAAAAAACAAAGCGCCTGTGTAGGAGCGGATGATTCCCCCAACCGCTCCTGTCTTCGTTTCCGATTGCCGGAGGAACATCTCTAATCTATTTTGAGACCGGATATAGCTGGCACATGCAGCGCATGCCTGGCCTCACTTTTGGGATTCTCTGTGTTCATCGATGTAGATGCCAACAGTGCTGTGACTGTAGGATTGTCTCTATGATGAGCCAGTGAATCAACATGTAGGTGTATGGAAAAATGGGGGGGATTGTAGTTGGGTGGGGGGAAAAAAGGCAGAATAGTACAGAGTAGTGGGGGGCATGTTCTGTTCTAAGCAGAGACTTTAGACTGTTTCGATGCCTAAACACTACTGCAGTCTAGCCGTACAAACCCCTACATAAATGGCTCCATACTTGTAGGATGATGCACTTCTGGGAAATTTAAGATCCAGTCAGCAGAGAGCTGGTAATACTATGCATTACAGCCTGATAAGGCATGAGACTAAACAGTCATAGTGCTGTGAAAGTTTTTCAATCATACATGTTTCTTCTGGTTATTTAGTGGAAACTAACCTGCCTTTCAACTTGAAAATCTAATTACCTTAAAATGTGGGCTTCCTGCTTTCTTGTCGATTACAGCAGATCATTGATATCCTACAGATTCCATCACACCATCACCTTGGTCTTTGACCAACAAGGTCAGGTCTGGAGAGCTTTGGGTGTTCCAGAGCCTTTCGTTACCAGCTACACAAGTCATGGCTCATGCTCCAATTTCCAATTCAATTCTGTTTATTTATATGGCGCCAATTCACAACATGTCATCTCAAGGCAATTTAGAGAAACAATTCAACCAGATCAAACAGTCAAATTGATTCAAAGTTTTCAATCTAAGTTAAACCAGTTTAATGCATCGACTCATAGACTCTACAGTACAGCAATGCCTCACACCAAGCATGCTTGTAGCAACAGTGGAGAGGAAAACTCCCTTTTAATAGAGAAAACCTCCAGCAGAACCAGGCTCAGTGTGAGCGGCCATCTGCCGAGGCCGATTGGAGCTCAAGCAGAAGCAGACATAGAGAAAGAAGCAGACATACAAGAGGCAACTGTTAACCAGCTCCTCAGGCGGCCCGTCCAGGAAACACAGCCAGGCAAACGAGCTCTGAGCCAGCACCCATGTCAGAGGACAAAAGAGAGCACAGACAGTCACATTAAGAGAAACAGGACTGCACTGAAAAACAGGCCAAGCTCCAACATCTATAAACAAAGATGTTGATGGCAGCAACACAGCTGACACCCCTCTCCAGAATGGTGTCACAGCCAATTTTGGCCGACTGAGGCTGACCCTCCATCTTTTAGAGAGGTGCGCATTTTTAGATGAAAGTGCGCATTCAGCGTCTGCTCTGCCGATAATGCAAGCGTAGAAAAAGAAATGTGCTGTTTACCTGTGCAAAGAAAGAAACAATGAAAGAAAAATGTCTGAGGACTACAGTGTTGAGGAAGAGCATGAGTTCTTTGCCGAGCTGAATGCGCACTTTCATCTGGTTTGGTCTGCCGCGGTTTCCGTAGACTCGTGAACGAGCTTTTAGGAAATCCTATA